TAATAATATTTAAAAAGTGGTAGTAAGCATTTGGTGGCAGGGGTGGACTGGGGAGAAAAAGTGGGCCGCGACTTCCTGACAGGGTGGCCCACTTTCAGCTGCTGAGTTGAAGCAACTTAGACTTGAACGTGATTTTGTCCAAAATAATTACATTTAAAAAACAAGCAATTGTTTGAGATGTCGTGTGTTCCAGTGAAGCTAAGGTGCATATCTGGTCTGTGAGAGGAAACTGGAGTACATGGAGAAAACACACTAAAGCACAGGGAGAACATGTAAACACCACCCTGAAAGGTCCCAGGCTGGGATTTGATTCAGCAGCTCTACATACTGTGCTACTGAGCTGTCAGGTTTATTGGCCCCAGCTGAAATCTGATTGGCCCCCTGAAGTGCCTCTGTCCAGTCACTCATCTGTCCTTTGCCCAATGCTGATGCAGTTCCAGTGACAAACACTAACTGCGCTAATGAGTCAAATATTAAAGTCCAGCATGAAAGAAGTCTTCTTTGCAAGTCTTTCAGCTGAAAAACAATGGCTAGATTTTCTCTCATGTTGTGTGTTTGAGAGTATTTTATCTGTGTTCTGTAAAAACGCATGTAAAACTGATAAGGAGAATTTACTGTCAGCTTTTTAAAATTACAATACATTACTTTACAAGTGTTTGAACATGTGTTTCTGGTTACCTTACCAAAACCAAGGATTTGTGTGCAAGGATGTTGAACAAATACTTTGCCCCTCTATGAATATTGTGGCCCCTTACAAAGAAAAATCCTAGATCCACCATTGGCTTTATGGGACAAGTTTCAGCAGATCAGATGACTGGAGGCATTTGAGGAATCGTGGTGCAGCAAAACATGGCACGCTGCGTGACCACGGGGTCGAGCACAGTAGCACCTTCACAGGCCGGACCACCAGTGGCACATCGGCCCTCCGAGGAAATCACCGGTATTGATGTTTGACAGTCTGCTGCTGTTTGGAGGTAATGTTCTTCCTGTTATTCTAGTCYATACTTGAAGTCTAGAAGCATGATTTTTATATTGGTGTAAAATGTTAAAAACAGGTAAAACATGTTCAAATCTACAAGGATTTACTTTCAAGGACAAAACAAAATGCAAAAAATCTAACTACAAAAAGACATGGTCATTACGGTTCATTATTTCTATGGAGTTTTAGATCAAAACTCATATGAAAGACTCATTTTAACAAACTTTTTTCTCCAGTTAGTCAACTAAAAGCATATTCTAATGTTGACACAGCTCGCTCGCAGTGTGCTTTTTGCWCAGTTAAAATTGTAATACAAGGTGATACAGTTTGATTTCAGAAACAAAAGGGAAAATGAAATATCTGAATACCCAAGCAAGTATTGGGAGARGAGTTCTTTCTTTAAAATACTTTCCCTTGATCCAATATGGCTGCTTTCAAGGAGGTGTCTATGTTCTGAACATAGCCTATAGACCCCCTCATCCATTACTTGCTGGGGTATTCAAAAAGGTCAATAAATTATTCATATAATAGGCTTAAATCTCCTAATTGAGATAAYTGGTAAATATTGCTAACTTTACTGAAGTTATTTATTTACTCCTTATTGCGACCACAGTGGTCATACTCGCCTTCCTCTCCTCCTGCTGGAGCAACAGTTCATGGTACCGAGGGAGAATAAGCTCAGCACTGCCTCTGTGCTCCTTTTGAAGATTCACATCCTCACAGTGCATTTCTGGGACACTGGCAGAAAAAAAAAAGAAAGGGGAAAAAATCAAAGACACAAAGAAAACAAATAAAAAGGAAGGCTAAAGAAAGAAATTCAAAATAATTGTATAAATGGAAGAGAAGAAAGTAGGACTGGGAGAGAGAAACTATTTGGGGATTTCTAAAGGACAAATGGGACCAGAGACAGAAGGGTTAAACTTGACAAAAGAGAATCATTCCATTTTGATAAAAAAAATAACAACTGTACTAGCAGTAAAGTCTACATTTTCAGTCAGTTTTAAATAATTCCAATAGTCACTCAGATTCAGGGGTGTCCAATCCTGGTCCTCAAGGCCCACTATCCTGCATGTTTTACATGTTTCTCTGTTTCGACACATCTCATTTAATGAATGAGTGAGTGGGCTTCTGCAGAGCTTTAAGACCTGCTGAAGAGCAGGGAAACAAGTAAAACATGCAGGATAGTGGCCTTCAAGGACCAGGACTGAGCACTATTGGTTCAGAACAAAAGTAGCATCAAAAACTAAACGTTTGCACTGACCTCCAAAAGGCTAACATTGAGTCTGTGTTGTGATTCTCAGGCAGGAATGGACCCATGATGCAGGCAGTTTCAAAAGAACCAAAAACCCAAATTTATTTAAACAAAAAGTGCTGTCAGGGCAGCTCAAAAAACTCACAAGGCTGGGTAGGGTAGGGTAGGGTAGGGTAGGGTAGGGTAGGGTAGGGTAGGGTAGGGTA